ACAGGAGCTTATGCATGTGACAGTTTTGTGCGGTTGGGAGCCGGGTCAGGGGAGTGAGGAAGGGGCAGTGGCTGGGACAGCTATGTCTAGATGGAAAAAGAAATGACGTAAGCTTGTTAGACCTTTGGCTCTACATTCTGATCCCATTTTTTGCGACTTCCTCTACTTATATTGTGGAGCATTGTGGGACATCAACCTTATTGAGTAAATAGTTATGTCTAGCAGTTGTGTGTTGGACGCCATGCTAAGTGCTGGAAACACTGAGATAAATATGCTCCGTGCTTGCTCTCAGGCCATTTGCAATTCATCAAGAGAGAGAAATGGAAGAGGGGACCTCACTGTGTGAGAGCGGTTATCATGGAGCCATGCACAACGTGCTATGGGGGCAGAGAGGCGGGGGCACTAGTTTGAGACAGGCTTCACAGAGGAGGTGTCACACTGGACCTTCAAGGATGGGCTTTGCCTCGTAGAGAATAGTAGAAGGAATAATCGTGGCAGGCAGACAGTATGAACCGAGGCAGAGAGACATGGCTAAGTGTGATGTGTCAGGGAACTGAGGTTTGAAGTGGTTGGATGTAGCACAAAATGATGGAACGTGAAGCTGGGAATGAAAACTGGGCCTAAGAATGACAGGACCTTGACTTTCAATTTGAACCACCTTGTGTAGGACTTTAAAGCGTGGTGTGTTGTGTTTAGAAATGTCTATTTTAGAAAGATTGGTGTGAAGGATAGCTTGAAAGGAGGAGAGAATTGATTGAAATAAACAGTCCCAGCAAGAAGATGGTGAGGGCTGTTGTATGAAGAGGGTTGAGTAGATGGATATGGTGGACTTCTGGAGATAAAATCCTTAGCACTTAGTGGACAACAGGAGCATGGAACCTTGGGCTCAGCCAACCTTTAAGGTATGGGCAGGAGAAAGAAAAATCTCTCTGAGAGACTGGATGATGGAAGAGAAAGGAGGGGGTGGATTTCACCAAGAGTGGCGATGCTCAGCAGTGTCAGTGCCTCAGAGGGAACAACCAGGACAGACTGAGAAGAGACCATTACAAACAAGAGATCAAGGTCATTGGTGAGCCAGGAGAAATTACTTTAGAGTCCTGCAAGAATCGAGAACACAGCTGAATGCTTACAACATTCAAGCTATATCAGTATTCCCCAAGAAAGTCTCTGACATTTATATGCATTTGTGTAAGGGAATATTCACAAACATCCAGCTGCCCAGGTACTTGGATTGGGGGAGAGGGAATAGGGAAGCTTAGAGTCAGTGCTAAGTTCAAGTGTCCCTGAACAATAGCTCTGCCTTGTGCTTTCTAGGGTCTCAGAGAGCCCCCTCCTTGCAAACACCATGACTCTAATTGTGCCGTTTTGTCTTATTACTGTCAGTATACTGTAGAAGGTAGATGCTTGGAGACTTCTCTTCCCTCCTTGCAAACACCATGACTCTAATTGTGCCATTTTGTCTTATTACTATCAGTATACTCTAGAAGGTAGATGCTTGGAGACTTCTCTTCCAGTTCCAAGTGGGTCCTCATTTCTAGCCAGGATGCTTGTAGTGGATGCCATGGTGTGTCACCCAGATTCCCTGTCCACTGCTGAGGTGCTCATTTCCACCTGCTGGGAGTGTAGGTGGCTAGCGATGGTTCTCACCTGGGAATTGTCCTCGGCTGAAGAGTGTCCCTTCACCCAAGATCATAACCTCTGGGATGGGGATGGGGGACAGCCTGCATGCAATGACTAGTCAATGGAGGTGGGGGAAAGAGGCCCCCATGCCTCAAGGTAGGGTAATTCTGAAGAGTCATCCCAACTCCAGAGCTCCTGTGGGAGCAGATGAAGTCTTTGTTCCACTGCATTGCATTGACTTCCTTCATCCGCTCAGTCCAGGCCTTCTTCAGTCACTCCCTCCCCACTGGCGTTATGAGGCACATCCCGGTTAACCCTCTGTGTAAATCTCGGTGATTCTCAGAGTCTGTTTCCTGGGGAACCACCCTTATTTGATGACTGTTTCCGGTTTGGTTGCTTACCCAAGGGGGGATGCCAATCAAACTCTGTAGTCCCTCTGACTTTTGCTTCTGAGCCCGTTGATGTGTCCAGTGGGAAGAGCCTCTCTCCCAGCAGCTGGAATGAAAGTCTTGGCATTGAACCCTCTTGGCTCCGACTGGCTGGACCAATATGCCTATGAATGGACTACTTGAGGAGAGGAAGGAACCTGGGAGTCAGCTGCCTGGCTCGTATTGAGACCTGCCCATTACATCCCAGCCCTGAGGAGAGGTCTGTGAGGTGGGGCGATCCCTGGGTGCAGAAGTGGGTCCCGCTCTGCACCTCCCTCTCCTGCCACCCTGCTTACGCTTCCCGGGCTCCTTACGGCAGCTGGTACTCACCATCCTACATCTCCTTTCTTTTGTTCATATTTTTTTTTTAGTCAAGAAAAATGAATGTTGAAAACACAATTGAGGGGCTTCCCTGGTGGCGCAGTGGTTAAGAATCTGCCTGCCGGTGCAGGGGACATGGGTTCGAGCCCTGGTCCGGGAAGATCCCACATGCCGCGGAGCAACTAAGCCCGTGCGCCACAACTGCTGAGCCTGCGCTCTAGAGCCCGTGCGCCATAACTGCTGAGCCTGTGTGCCACAACTACTGAAGCCCGCGTGCCTAGAGCCCGTGCTCCGCAACAAGAGAAGCCACCGCAATGAGAAGCCCGTGCACCGCAAGAAAGAGTAGCCCCGGCTCACCACAACTAGAGAAAGCCCGCGTGCAGCAACGAAACCCAATGCAGCCAAAGATAAATAAACAAATAAATAAATATTAAAAAAAGAAAACAACACACAATTGAGATATTTCAAGCAAATGTAGGACCTCTCTTGAAATTTGTTGCAGAAACACCACTGCGCAAACAAACTACTGGGAAGCACAGCTTAGAAACAAACAGCAGCTGCCACCACTTGTGGGCTACTTCTCCCCCTTTTCCTCATTTCCTTCTAATCCCATTCATAATAAAACCTGCTGCTCTAATGGCCTAGTAGTTTAACAAACACGATTTTTCTTTCCCATCTTCAGGCACCTCCCAGGTGGCCTTGACAGTGACTTTTAGCTCTGGGGTCTCCGTCTGCAGAGCTCTAGGTCCTTTTCCCATGTTTTCCTGTCTCATGGTTCCATCTGGGATGATGTCCACAGCTCCCTGACCAGGTGGGGCATAGCTGGAACTTCTGGACTTCTCCATCTGTCGGGACATGAGTCTGGAGTGGGGTTTCTTGCCTTCCTGTCTTTATAACAATGGATAATGCTAATTGCAGTCTTTGTGAGTGACTAAGTGCTTCAGCTGTTGCTGTTTTGTCCTATTTTTTTCTTTTTTAATTTGTTTTCTATGTGAGATCTTTGAAGACACAACACAAAGGGCTATTCTTGGGCCTGATTTGCTGAAGACTGTCACTTTAAAGAGCTCTAACTTGTCACCTCCAACTCATTTGTCCCCTTCCCTGTGAAGAGCAGCCCCTCTCCCTTTAAATGCTACTAGAGGTGTGGGATTCCTCAGCTTAAAAATGATTCCTGTCAGATATTAGGTTTGCTGACTACATGCAGGTGTGGTGCTAGGCCCTCACTTACTCTTCCCCAGAGCTCTGCTGGGTAGATGTCCTCCCCGTTTTATCTGCGTGGAGACTGAGTTGCTCTCCCAGGGGAGAGATCTGGGATCACGCCGCCAGACAAGGCAGAGCTGGGGCTCGGCCCAGGCCTGTCTGAAGCTAAAATCCAGGCTTTCCCCTGCCTGATTCTCAGTCACCGTCACACCATATGGCAGTGCTCTGTAAACCTGTTGACTGGAGAGGGGAAATGCTTTTTAGGCCAGAGGCTGACGTTTTTTTCATTTGTCCCCCAGAGTTTTTTTTAAAGTGAGTTCGTGCCTAACATTTAAAAACGAGATCTCACATGAAAGAAAATGTTCAGTTTTTCTTCAAAAAAATCTTCAGACCTGGCAAGACTGTGCTCATAGGTTGACATGACAACGATTGGTTCCAGCTGGCCCCCCTGCCCCGCAAAGGGGACATGACTTCCTCAGTTTGTCACAGGCCCCTGCGGCCCCCTCACTCTTTTCCGTTACTTGCCCAGCCTCTGTGGACATGGATGTTTGTGATTCGTGAGCTAGGCCTTTAAAGAAATCATTTCTGTTCAGTTAGGAATCAGAGGAGGCCAAAGGCACTTTCTGTCTCTGAGTTGAATCTCATAGGCTTTGATTTTTCTCTTCGACTTTTGGGGATGGTAATTCGGTAATAATATCCACGATTATTGGATATTTATTGAGCGCTCTAACACAGCTGACTCTGAGGGTTAGCAGACACCTGTTCGGTGCTAAGAACTTGCATAGTTCTCCAGTTTCCTTTGCATTCTAGATCCTGCCCGGGACTCTCCAGGTCCTGCAGGAACTGGAGGCCAGGCCGCAAAAGCGTATTTAGCAGAGGCAGCATTGTCGAGAGGGGAGATGAATCCAGAGAAATACTTTCTGAGAGAGGAAGTTAGGTTGATTCCATTTTCTCTTGGAAACTGTTGACTTCTGCAGGGAAGATTGCCCCACAACACAGGAGCACTCCTTTCTGAACTGCCAGTGTTCGACACAATGAGCAGCTCAGAAATGTCAAACAGAAGAATCTTCAAAATTGGAACCCCTTCAGGATGGTGAGCCTTTCAGTTTAGCCCGAGGTACCTACAAGTGTATTTCCATTTGACAGTGAGAAATGCATTAATTCTTTTTTTAAATTGTTTCAATGAAGTCTTGTTTCCTTTTGTCTGATTTAAACACATCTCATAGAAATGTAAAATAGAAACAAATAGATTTTGACTCATTTCATAGCCGCAGCTGAATTAAATTTTAATGCTCTTTAATATTAACATATGAGAGCCCCCCCCAAAAGCTAAAGTTGTTATTTATTTGCTTATTTTAAATGCATATTTGCTTTTGATTAAGACGACGGCTAGAATATCGTTTTGACTTTTTATTGTTTATTTTCTTTCAGGATCCTGCAGGGATCTTTGAATTGGTGGAACTTGTTGGCAATGGAACATACGGACAAGTGTATAAGGTAAGTTCCTTGAGCTTGAACATGGCTTATGTGTGGTTTCGGTTCATGAATGCGGAATAGCAGTGCTGTCTGTTCTCACTCATACATGTCTCATAACAGATTTAAAATGACATAATATACTTGTTAATTGACTCTCCATCTTTTTAAATGTATCTGTAGTCCCACTGCCTAAACCGGATTCTGGGATTTGGGCATTTCCCTTCATTATATATTATAGAGCTTATAGCTGACACATGCATTCTGATGGTGCATATATGAAGCTCTTTAAATGTTTCGTTTCTTTACTTTAATCACTGCCAGAACTGGTTTTCAAAGGCGCGAAGGATGCTATTTACTTCAGAAATTTAAGCTATTAAAGTATCACAGCTGGAAAAGTAGATTTGTTACTGGCCTAGGGCATGAGTTAAATGAATTTAGTGAACAATGTTAGGAGAAAACTGGCCACCTCACAAAGAAAGGCCTAATGGCAGCAACGACTCTTACAAGATAGGAAATACTTAAAAGTTAAACTTGAGCTGAGGAATGAAAAGTTCTTCTCTCCTTTTTACTAAATTTTTACTTACAAATTCACTCCAAACATGCTTTTAAAACATATTTTCTCCCAGAAAATGATCTGAAAAAGTGATTATTTAGAAAAGTGGGTTGATTCTCCTGATTATCAAAAGAAAATGGAAATTAACTTTTTGGACTAAAGCTCAGGGGGTTTTAGTGAATGAGCTATTGAAATAAATGCCTTCAAAACAAACCAACTGTTTCCACATGATTATTTCAAGGGAAATATCCGTCACTTTCTAGCGTGGTAGTGATATGGGATGGCATTTTCACTACAAATTCTCTCTTGTTGTTCTATTTTTTAAAAATTACTTCTTTGAGTCCTAAACTTCTCTAAGTTGATTAAAATTATTGTAAAAGTCATCCAGATTGTAATATTTCCGATTCTACAGAATGTCAAAAGTATATGTGTGTATATATATACATACATATACATATATATATATATATATATATATATATATATATATAAATAAAAATACTTAGGCCTTTATTTACCAGGAGGTACCCTTTGGTGTCCACTCCAGGGGAAAATTTCTCTCTTGCAAGAAATGATTATTTCCTAAAATGTCAACTCCCTGCAATTAGACAGAATGTAGTCTACTCCAGCTGTTCACTTGACACTGATCCTGTCTGACACAAGAAAGAAAGGTGTCTCAGCAAATGCTTTTAAATACTTTCAGTGAAGATAATCAGGTTGGAAGATTGTGCTATTGCATTTTGAGAAGTTGGATTGAACTTGTGAATTAATGTGAGCTTATGAATTAAGCCCTGATTTATGTAGAGAATTACTTCTGATTCGCTGTCAATTTGGAGAAGCAACTCTGTATAATGCTGTTGGTTTTATAGTGCCATTCCATTGTCCTGTGCTTCCCACCTGTAGAATACACATCTGGGAGATGATTCACAGCTTTGTCCACTAATCTAAGAGGTGGACTGTATACACTCTTGCAAGGGAGGATAACAAAGAGATAAGGATTCTCAATTAAGGATGAGAATGTTTGGAAAATCCAAAATTAGCCCTAATTTCTTGTTACTTGAAAAAAAAAGAAAAGGAAACAAGTCGCAGGAGGTCTCAGATCTTCAGAGAGGAAAGAAATTGGCCAAGTACGTTGTTAACACTATTGTTCTAAAGGGTGCCCTTCTCTTAGAGGTTGATACAGAAATTTGGCTTCTCTCAAGCTGAGGGGAGACTGCAAAGATGGCCATGGTGATAACATTGGACTTTGAGACAGGAGGCTTGGTTTCTTTTACCAGCCCTATGTATTGTTTTGTGGTACAGCAGCTTTTCTGTGCATTAGTCAAGTGAGGGTGTTTGCTATAAATGTTTTGGGGACTTGGAATGATTTACCTGAAGGATTAATCCTCCATACCCAGTTAAGGGTTTGGTTTCTAGACGACCCAGATGATATTAGGTGGCACCCCCTCAAGAAGAGAGACACCTGGGTTTTCTGGGTCACTAATCCAGTCCTGCTGTTACTCTGAGCCCTGAAGGATTAAAGCTTAATAAACTGCAAAACCTGAACTCAAATACACGTGAACCCAAAGAGAAATAATTTAGGAAGTGATTGTCCACATTATAGGTTATATTTAACTTTTATGGAATAGGTATATTTCTAAAATAGTGTAAACATAAATATAAATTTTAAAGCCCTAGGAACAGATATCTATACCAAAAAAGTCTGTGATAAATACTTTCTTTACATTAAATATTAAATCTTTGATTTTAATTTTTTGTAACCCTGGCTTTTGTTGTTCCTGGATTTCATAAAATGAGGTATAATTTTATGTACAATTATACAGATGTAGCCTTTCTTTTCTGGAAAGATTCTTATAAGTTTCTTTTAATAAGCTGTCCTAAGAGAGTCATAATATAATTTTATTTACAAGTAATTTTCAAGAAGTAGACTTAATTCAATACACAAAAAGTATATGTAGATATTAAGAGAGTATTTCTTGAAGTATATCTTCATATAAGCCACTTAAATCTAGATGTGGAAACATATTTTATATAAAGGTCATTAACAACATTTAGCTTTTCAAAGTTGCTTCTAGCCTTACTCCCAAGTCTAGCTTGGTCTGTCTCTCCTTGGAAGGTTAGATTTATCATTTTGGTCCCAGGTGGTCAAGTGGTAGTTCAGTATCTGTTTTTTGCTTTACTTTCTAGAAAGATTGCATAAATAATGAAGAGTAAAGAGGCTCTGTCAGGGTTTTTTATGAGGAAATCATCTTCTTGGGCCTATGGCTCCCATGAAAAAAATGAACCAACCAAAGGCCACATACCCGTTTGCTAAAGGCTTTGGCTATTTATTGGCATGCCACTTATTGGGACCTAATGGAATCCAGACACATTTTTGTTAAAATAGAGTAATTATTTTAATAGGTCCAAATAATTGTTTAATGTTTATTGCTAAAACACCATTAAATCTTAGCCACAGATTTAAAAAATGAATGTTAGTCTATCCTGTTTCTTTATTTGCCCTTTGGAACTGTATATTGGTTATTGCAGAGATGGAGATGTACTTTATTCTGGGGTGACAACGTGAATTGGGAATATGGTGGATTCCTCAGTATCTCTCAGGTTTCTCTTAAAACCTCCTCTAGGTTGTAAAGTATGAAGTAAAGAGGCCATATTGGTGGTTATAGTACTTGTTGAGAGAGAACGCTGTGACTGAGTGTGTGTGTGTGTGTGTGTGTGTGTGTGTGTGTGTGTGTGTTTTCAAAGGGTTTCATAGGTCCTTATAGGTCATCTAGCCCAATCATGCCTCTGCCAGCGTCTGTTCAGCCCATCCTTGATCACCTCCACTTGTGTGGGATTCATTACCTCCCAGTCATTCCATTTGCCTGCAATTCCCTTTGAATGTTCATTATCATGTTGAGCCAAGATTCTCCCTTCCTAAAATGTTTACCAGTTCAAGCTCCTTTCACTCCCTCGGAGCTATTTAAAAAAATAAATGTAATCTTCTTCCACAAGAACATAGTCCTTCAGATATTTGAAGAAGACTTCTCCCTTCTTCCCCCAAACACATACTTGTGTCTCCTCATCTCCAGTCAATGTAGCCACAGTTGCTGAATTAATTCTTCGTATGACTTAGACTTGAGGTCCTTCATTATCCTGGCTTCTGCCCTGAAACGATTCTAACATATTAATAAAAATAATCCTTCATACTTTAAAATAGTTTTCTATGTCATGAAACATTTTGTATGTATTATCTGATTTCTGATTTAATTTCAATAATAATTTCATGCGAATCTTTTTCTCACCTCAGCATCTTTCTAGTAATAGTTTCTTCTGTCTAGAGCACTTGCCCCTCAACCCTCTCATGGCTAGCTTTCTCTCCTTCAGGTCCCAGCTCAAATGTTACCTGCTCAAGGAAACCACTTTTCATCCTTGTATCTAATAGAGCCAGCCACTGCCACTGCCTCCCTCCTCCCAATGACTTTCTCTGTCAACTTGTTTTTTTGTCTTCATGGCATTGCCACTCTCTGAAAGTATTTTACTTCTTTGTTTATGTATATATTAAACAATTTAAATGCATAATAAGGAAAAAATAAGGGTAGGGACCTAGTCCGTCTAACCATCACTGTATCCCCCATCTGGTACATAGTAGATGGTGACCTGTGTGTGGCCCAGAATTGAGCTCTGTTTTCCTTGATAATTCTATTTATATTCATTCCCAGTTTTTTCAGCATTTCCCATAAAATGTCAGTCTGCTTACTTCAGATGTGCATATTTGGACAAAAGTCATCAACAGAATTCTCTCCCTGATTTTTATGGTAGGGGTGTGGATTTTATGTTAAATTAATTATTGATAATCTGTAGAAGCAAGACACATGCTGGAAATTTACAGATGAGGCAAATCAATTTTCTGGGGTTCACCCTCCTGGAAGAGGTTCCCAGAGTTTACTATGCAAAACAAATATTTGAGAAATGATTAAAAATATAGATTTCCAGGCCTAACCTCTCAAATTTTGATTCAGTAGTTCTGGCTGGGGTCCAGGAATCTGCACTTCTAATAAGTGTATGGGTTCATTCTGATGTTCAGGGCCCTGGGGCCACACCTCCAGAGACTCTGCAAAAATGATTGTAGATTATCCTGTTGTAGGGCCACTTGAGTGAATGTTAATCCTAATGTTTTTTTGTAATCATTTACTGTAGGGTTTTTGTGCCGACTCTAACATGCGTAAACTGAGAAAAGTAAAAATGCGCAAAGATCTGGACCTGAGATGTGATGCCAGCCAGTTCTGACATACTCATTCTGAGACTTGACTTTTGCTGTTTTGATTTGACATGCTTGTGATTACAGTTTAAGGTGGTTTCTGAGTAATTCAACTCAAGACCTGACAATTGATACGGTCAAAAACTGACCTGGCATAGACAGAAGAATCTGAGGCTGTTGCAGGGGATTTCCTTAAATCTATATATTGTGATCTCTTAATAAATTTTC